TGGGACCTTTGAGAGGTGATGAGATGATGAGGGTGCGGCCTTCATAAATGGGATTAATGGCCTTATGAATTAATGCCCAGAGAGCTCCCTCACCCCTTCTACTATGTGAGGTTACAGTTTGAAGGTTACAGTAAGGAAGTTGGTTCTGACCAGACATCTCATGGACTTCACAGCCTCCAGAACTGTAAGAAATAAATGTTTGCTATTATAAGCCACTCAGTTTATGATACTTTTGCTATGGCTGCAGGAGCAGACAAACACTGAATTAAAAATAATCTTAACATGTCTTAAAGTTTAGAAAAGCAGTAATTGTACTTAAGAATATTTAGAACTTACAACCAGAAGACGTCCATAGGAACCACCTTGTGCACACAATTTATCAGAAAGCAAAGTGAAGCCCAGGAAAGGTTAAGCAAGATGAACAATGTAATACTCCCAGGAAATGGGTGAGTTGGAATAGAGATTTTTCCCCCAAGAAACAAAAATATTTATTTGTTATTTGCATATTTTTCTAATAATTTGGAGGTAGGCAAGATGTGTGTAATGTATTTCCAAACAAATGTTGGAAGGGTACTATTTAATGCAAAATTTCTAATTGTTGTTAGTTTGAATTGTAAATTATATACATAAACATATCACTAAAAGTTTCCATTAAATAACATATAAATGCCATCTTATTAAATTGTTCATTGTCACAACTCAGAAAAAGTTCTTTGTTTATCAAAATTATGTAATAAATTTCTAACTATTGTTTTTAGGAAATAAAATGACCATCAAGGAACATGAATGTATGATAAATATCCATAACTAGAGGATCTGTCTATCCTCTTCACCATATGCCACTCTATTAATTACTAATATCATCCTTATTATGCATCATCTCATCTGTAACATTATTCCATGAAACTAAGAAGGCATCAATAACAACTACAGAAAAACACCTGCTATATGTGTTTCTGGTTGATAAATTTCAGCAGGTTCTAGTTTGCTCTTAGGCAAAATTGTCTAATTGCTTTTGTATAACAGGAAGCCTTGTAACAGTACAATTTTCTATGCTTATGATCAGAACATTACTATATTCTTCAACTGTTACAATTAATTAAATATTCAAAATGTTTATTTAGCAATATCATATGCATAAATATATGGGCATAATGGTCACTGGGCTAAACACTGTGAAGAAGAATAAAATATAAGCCAGAACTTAAAACTTGTGAAAGCATTTTGAAAGCTGTAAAACCCCTAAAGCCCTGAATAAGTTCTAGATAATGAGGACCATAGCTCTTAGATTTGGTCAGCAATTATCTGTCGTGTAAATTGTATACCTATTTTTTACTTTGTATATGAAGAAAGGAATTGAATCTCATCTTGATCATTCTGCTTAATCAAAGGCAATAGATGGACAGACCACCCTGGTAACTGTCTTCTTGGCAACAACCAAAACTTTAGGAGTGTTGATTATTTTATCCTTTCTGTGGTGGTTTTGGTTGAAGGAGCAAGTATATGCCCAGGAAATGATTAGGAACCACTGCCAAAAATAAGAGAATTAAATGCTGAATTGTGTGGTGAAGACAGTTAAGGTGGAGTAATGTTAAAGAAGGGAGGATAAATGATAATCAAAACAGGAAGGAATTTTTGGAGAAAGTAAATGAGACTTCAGTAGATAGGAAGGAAATGGTTAATATGTGTGCTTTCATTCACAATAAGGTCAGACAGACAAGAAAATTAGGAGAGCAGTTATGTTCAGTATTAAAATCCTAGGATAAACTTTTGGTAAGAGTTAAAGAAACAACTGGATGGAGGCAAATTATGGATAATTTTGGAAATCAGAAGAGTTAACAGTTATGAGGAGCAGCATCCCAGTGACCACCACCTCCACCCACTGAGTGTTTTTCAGCCCATATACCAAGTGCTTTTACATGGATTACCTCACTCCACCCTCACGCAAACTCTTAACTCCCTAAGAAGTACTGACATTTTGTAACAATCCTTGTGTAGATAAGAAATCTAAATACCATTCAACTGTATAAGTCTGCTTATCTGCATAAGCTTATCCAGCTTTTGGATATCTATTGCATTGCCAACAGAGAAATAATTGTTTCCATAGCCGTAAATTGGCAAACACCTCGTATACATATCCCATTTAGAGAATAAAGGTTATTGTCTGAGTTTGTATAAAATCCATTAATATTAATTTCTGAATTGCTCTTTTTCTTCGAATTTATAATTTGCTATGTATGAACTTTCAGTCTGTAAAAATCACCATTTCTTGATTGTTCAACCATGCACTACAGAGACAGCAGCTATATTAATAACCTCTCAAAGGTGCAGTGCACTGATAGTGCTATTTATGCTGCTGTCTCAAAAAAAGCATATTTATTCTGTCCAAGCACCCAGGAGACATGAAAACTCTTCTTTGTTCAGATTCACAGTGGATAGTCATTTTAATACTTCAATTACTATTTCAGCATGTTCCCTCCATTACTGTTTCCAGCATCACAGCCAGTAATTTCTAATAGCAAAATGTACTTTATAAACTATACACACATATGCCTCGCATGCAGTGAGCAAATAAAATAAATGATTAGTATCAGAAAATATTTAAAATTTAGATAAAATTGTATCCATATATGAATCTTGAACATGAAAACTTTATATACCCTAGCTAATGATTGATGACTGTTGAATAAGTGAATGATGATTGTTGAATAAGTGAATGAATATATATATATGTATATATAAAATACATATTGAATGGATTAATATATATATTATATATATTTTCTAACTTGGAATTAAAGAAAAGTAATGATATATTAACATTGATATTAACATTTAATATTCCTTAAGATTTAAGTCAGTATAGAGCTGTTGTCTATGAAATAGGGTTTATGAAAATATCAAATAATGCAACATTACTTCTGTCTTTGAACAATTTATAACCATAGTAAATATGATTCATTCTTTTTATTGAAGAGAGGATATTGGAATGAAAAAACAGATGGTGTATAGTCTCAATCTTACTTTATATAGGCCTTAAATTCCATGATCTGGCTATAACTTCTCATTTGTGAGATTCTGTTCCCACATAAATTATCTCCTTTTCTTACCTTACCCTCTCTTTTCACATTCTTTCTGCCACAAAAAATGCACACATCGAATTTATATAAAACTAAAGCAGGACACGCTTCACTATGTTGTACACTGTAACCATAAATTGTCTTAACTGGAGTATGCTATAAGAAATCAATCTTACACAGTTTACTCTTCAATCCATCACTGGGACATTGGGGAAAGTAACTCCCACAATACTTAATCAGTTTCCACTTTACAAGAAACAATGCAATGTATTTCAGACCTCAAAACTAGTGAAAATTTGGCTTTTTTGTGTTATTTTTATCCTTGTACTTCATAAACAATGGTTTTCATGTAAACTGGTCAGGTTTCTCTGGCAGCTGTCATATTTAAGTCTACTAAGTAAACCACTCTTAAAGGTTGTGTGCCAACTTGCACATAAGCTTTTGTTTAGGATCATCTAACAATTTTACCTTGTTTTTTCATTATCCCCATTTTACTATTTATTTATTTTTAATGCCATTGAACTATATGTCACCTTAAGAAGATTTTGAACATGAGAAAGGTAATGAATAAACATCTATCTGTGATGTGACCAGAAAGTTTTATGGAAAACAATCTAGATTCTCTCTTCTTCTTCCCCTGGGTTGTCACTGTCAAGTAGAATGAATATTTCTGTTGCTCCATTTTATCACTGCCTATTCCCTCTTTAATGTTCTGAATCTGGCATTGCTTCCCATTCTATGACTAGTCTTCCTTAAGGACTTTGCTACTTTTCAGGCATTTGAGCGTGGGAAAGTGACAGGATCTCTCTGTGCCTTACACCCCTCATTTCTAAAACGGAGATAATAATGCCTCCACTGGTTTGTTTTGAGGTTTAAGTAAGACGCGGTATATGCAGTAGTTAGTACAATGCCTGGCCCAGAGTTAGCTGCCTAAAAAGTGAAGCCAATGGTAACAACTTTGTAGTAACTGTGGATAATCTTCCACACAACTCCAATTTTAGTTTGTTTATAGAAATTCACGGCATAAGGTTCTCCTACTCTCATAGGCTTGATTATCACCTTTGATTCTTTCTTGTCACATTCTCCTTCCATCCAGCCAGTTGTCAACTACTTTGTCTTTTTCTCTTTACAGTAGCTCTCAAATTTGTCCCTTCTATTCCCCAGATGTCACCCTCATTCTATCTGAGAGGATCCACAGGGTGTGTGCGCTGACTCAGTGAAAATGTTCCCTAAGGGAGAAGAAAAGCTAACAGAATTTGAGTGCTAAGACACTGAAACATGCAGAGATGCCACTATACAAAAATAAATAACAACAAACAAGGAACCAAGAGTACCAGTAGGATAGGGTAGGGTGTTCATTTTCAAACACAGCTTAATAAAGTTCAGAAAAAGGGGCCTCATTAAATTTATATGGAAATATTTATTTTGCAGAAAGCTGGTGAGAGTAAATCTTATCTGTAATTATTGGTAATATGAAAAGCTACAGCACTCAGTGATTTGTATTGGTTTAAATAACTAAATGTAGAACCTATGCTCCACCTCACTGCTATGAACATAAGCAATCAAAGTAACAAATCGTAAGGGGATACAGAATTATGGTAATTGTGTCATCCATATCATCGTCTATACAGGGTACTCAGTGATTTAAGAAAAAGGTCAACAAAGTTACCAATGCCTTGTATCACACATTTTAAGTTGTAGTCTTTTGCTCTATGATAATTAGGTTGGGAATTCCTTGGGAACTGAACATAGTGGTTCACATATAGCAGATTTTCAATAAATATTGTTAAACACCATGTGCTAAGTGTTTCCTTAAAGACTCATTAGAGTTCAAAGATTCAATTGAATTTATACTTGATGGAGCAAAGTTCAAACTATTAAAATGTGTTGAGAACATTTTTATTTTAAAGACTTCCTTACCTTTACATACAGGCCTGTGATCACTCCAAGCAGCAAATACTTCAGCTATCCGTTGACAGGTGATGCTCTTAGCACCCTGTAGGACATAATCTTCATCACAAGAGAACTGCACAGTTGAGCCAAGGCTAAAATTGAACAAGATTAAAAAACAGAATCAGAAGTATATAACATAATGATCAGCCTCCACTTTTACTGGCAATATCCAGTAGGTAAAAAATGTTCCAATGTGACAAAAAGTATCTTTCTACTGGAAAAAGAAGACATGAAAGTATAACTTGTATAAATGTATAATAAAAGTCATAAATAGATGAATCTATTATAAGTCAACAACATGCAGATATTGATCTGAATTGCAGAAAGCTGGCATTAAGTTTAATGTTATTAGTTGTAGAAGTCAAGGTTTAATAACTGACTAAATTTCCCATCCTATGTAGATGGTAAATGTAAAGCAAAAAGTGGATTCCTGATTTGAATCCTAGTGCTTGTGTTCATGCCACATTGTAGTACTTCCCTAGCATATGTATTTATTTGAAATGTATTTGCACATCCATATCTATTTGTATGTATGTAGTGTGTGTGTGTGCACACACACACATGTACACATATTTAGGAATGCAAATTTGTACTGATTATTTTTCGTATAAAATTCACTCACCTTTTTTATTTAACGTATTGCAATTCAGATTTTGCTACCCTTTCCACTGAAAGGAAGTTTCTAATATGGTCATCTTTTAAAAATCTAGTTTCTAAGGGTAATAGATTTTTTTTCTGAAACAAAGCTATCCACACATCTTCTTTTTAAAAATCTTTAAACAACAACTTAACAGCAACAAAAAAAAAAACATAATGTTAAGATGGCATGAAAAGCCTTCCAGCAACTTCACGTCATCTCTAGCCCAGGGCTGCACCTGATGAACACCTCTGGAAGCGCCATGCGGCTTCCTGTCTGCACTGCTCTTCCTGCCCCCTGTTCGTGGAGGGAATTACCTGAACTCTCTCACCCAGCCTGTGCCTGAACAGCTCCTGTCCAGCTCCCTGAACTTCTCATGCAAGGGGATTGCAGGATCACATTGGTGTTATAGAAAAAAATATTTGGAACAGTGTGAAGAACAATTTAAAAGGGAGATTAAGTACAGAAAGGGAGACCAGTAAGAAAATAAGTCAAATAGTTTAAGCTGAGGGTTGGCAAACTATGTCCTGCAAGCCAAATCTGGTCCACTGCCTATTTTTGTATAGCTCAGTAGCTAAAAATGGTCTTTACATGTTAAACATTCAAAAAAATATCAAAAAGATGATATTATGAAATGTAAAAAATAGTATTAAATTCAGATTTCAATATCCATAATTCAAGTTTAATTAGAAACAGCCACACTCTTTCATTTACATATTATCTATGGTTGTTTTCATGCTATAATATTAGAGTTGAGCAGCTGTAATGGAGAATCTTTGGCCTACAGACTATAAAATATTTACTATCTAACCCTTTGCAGAAAAGCTGGCCAACCTCTGGTCTGCGGTAAAGATGACAAAAGACCTGAACTAAGGGGCAGCATGGCAAAGAACAGAAATGCTCAGTACAGGGAAAATCTCTAAGGTGTTAGAATATACTATCCTTTAGAGCCATTTTCTGCTCTCTTTCTTTTTTAAAAACGGTTTTTATTTTAAATATAAAACACATCTATAAAAGCACAGGGAAAAAAATAACAGCTCAATGAATTATCATGAATTAAACACTCATATATCCAAGAAATAGATTATGTTGGAGGTTTTCTTGGACTTTTTAATGACTCCAAATTTTATTTATACTACTCTGTAGCCTGAACATCCTTGTAAGTTTACCTGATAGTCAATTCCCTCTTCCCCATCTCAGTAAATGGAAACCCTATATTCTAGTGAGGGCTGAAAACCTTGGAGTCATTCTTGACTCATCTTTTTCTTCTTCCACATCCATACCATTGAGCAAACCCTGGTAGCTTACTTTCAAAACCAATAACCTAACTTTCCTCACCTCTACAGTATCACTCCCCTGATCTGAGCCACCATTATTTCTCATCTATATTATCGCCCATAGTCCTTTTTGCTATGTTGTTGGTAGCCTGTTTCTGTTCTTGACTTCCTGCAAACTGACCCTGAATAGTATCCATAGCAATCTTTAGAGGGTAGCTCAAATTATGCCATTCCTCTGTGTCAAATCTTTAAATACTTCCCCCATTTCACTCAGAGTAAAGGCAATGTTTTTATAATGGTCTTTGTGATCCACCCATGCTGATTTTCAGAACTCAGGTCCTACTACTTTCTTCCTCAATCTCCACTCCTTAGCCATGTTCGCTTCCTTGCTCTGCCTTGAAAATATGAAGCATGCACTTGCCTCAGAGTCTTTATATTTGCTTTTACATCGGTATGGAAAATGCTTCCTCTAGTAGTCTCCATCAGTCACCTTCTCATTTTTGTTTTCTCTTCACATGCCACCATATCCATAAGGCTCTCCTTGACTATTTTCTATAAAACAGCTACTCCTAATTCATAACCTTCTTCCAAGTTAATTCCTATACAATATCTGATGCATTAGGTATTTGTCTACCTATTTTGTTTCTCATCCCACTAGAAAAACTCCAGATACCAATTTTGTTTTCCAATCTGTCAAGCATCCTAGTATATAGTAAGTTATGAAATACATATATATATGTATTATATATATATACACACACACACACACACATATATTGAAGAGAGAGAATAAAGATAAATGTCTATCATTAATAATGCAGATTTATTATCCAAAATGGCCTAATCCCAATAACTGGACAAAATTATTCTTAGGTAAAATAATCCCTCACAGCTATTTAAATCACTTCTAAGCCTCATGCACTCACCTCCCACCACCTGACACATTTGCTGTGTTCAGCAACAGTGAGAGCTGATGTAATTAGAGCACAGGAAATAAAGGAGACAAGAGTATTAAATTAAGAGAATAAGAGATTGCGGCAAAACATTTATGAATCTGCAGACCAGGGTAAGGATTTTAACCTTTACTCTCAGAAAATCGGGCAGTTATTGTAGGAATATGAGTTAATGGAATGACATTCTGCTAATTTATGTTTTAAATTGATCATGGTGGCTGCTACATGTAGAGTAAACTCTAAGGCGGCAAAGGCAGGAGCAGGGTTTACAGGCCTCCACAGGGACCCAGCTCTCAGGGGGACGGTGTTACGGTGACTTTGTACTAGGAAGGTAGCAGTTAGAAACTGATGATGGTAAAACATTAAAATAAAGGTGGAGGTGCTTAGTACAGGGCCAAGGCCACAGAAGTCATTTTATTACTGTTTTTTCAATAATATAATGAATCAATGATTCTGTCAAGGTTGCTGTATTTGTCACAAATAATTATAATATTCTAGCTTAACCAGGCTCATCTTGCTAAAACCAATAAACTGCACCTTGCTTAAGTGACAAAATTTGAGCTTGCTTCTTTTGACTATAGCAAACTAATTCACATAGCTGGAGATGGTCAACTGGTAATAAGTGCTTTGGTATTACACCAAAGCCTGCCAGTGATGGTCTCTAAAGTTTCCACCCTTTCCATCACCCAAAGATTAACAATCCCAATATTTTTTTTCCGATTAACACACTGGGGGAAGTAGTTTAGAACTATGGTTAACAGTTTAAGCTGCAGAGTCAAAGAGTTCATTTGAATCCTAACTTTTCTCTTTCCCAGCTTTGACTCTGAGAAAGTAAAAATGTCTCTAAGACTTGGCTTTCTCACCTGTAATCATGTAATTTCATGTGATTATGTAATGAAATATCATTTATAAAGTACACAGTGCCCAACACTATCAGCCACTTAATTATTTCTCTCAATAACAGAAATAATTATGAAAGTCATTCCTTTCTTCCTCACTTTTGAAGGGACGACTTGTTACTGGACATGTGCAAGCACTCCCCTACCCACGATCACAGCTATACTTTAACATACTATAGACCAAAAATACAAAAGTGCAAAATAATACAGAGAGGGCAGAAATCAATGGACTCAGCAGTCTTTTCAGTGGAATCCAGGCTCAACAGTATCCAGGAAATGGGTATCTTGAACAAATTCGCTCTGTTTTCACTTTATGCACTGCTTTAATATTTGAGTCAAACTTAGAGAAAACAAACAACTAATTTCATTAAAAACATGCATTTCTAGAAAAATATTCAGGTATACTGAAGTAATAAGTATGGAAGACATGCTGTAAACCACTGTAATTTCTGTTACCCCTGAAGAAAAATGTGACCTTTCCAGCTAAATAAAACCTTTTACTTTTGCAGGTTATTCAATCTGACAGAACATTTCAAAATAAATGATTGAACACAGTTGTAATTTGAAAGTATAAAAGCATCAAGCACGTAACATTCAATGACACACTTCGGAAAACAAGTATCATCTTCACCATGATCATGCTGGCGCTACTATGCCATGGGTAAGTGCTATCATCTTTTGAAAAATTATACTTACTATTGAATAAACACACTATAACATCCAAGTTTCAATTAAAGAATACCTGAATTTTTCAAAATGTATTTTTCCCTATTTTAACCCTACAGTTAATGTAATTTTATTTATACAAATAAAGTATGAATGAATGCAGAGAATTGAAAGGACAAATGACAGTGGCTGGGTCAGAAAAGAGGATTTAAAAGGCAACACGGAATCTTGAGAATATTATTACATCAAGAGTGAATCTGAATTTAAGTTTTGTTTTTTGTTTTTTTAGTCATTGTTTTTAGCTGATACAAAGGTCTAGACAATTTCATAACAGATGCAGACATTCCTCACTAAAGCAGGTGTTTATTTTCAAAACTATTACTGGACAAGTAGTAACCATCCAGGCATGAAGGATGACTTAAGAATTACAGCATCTGTACACCATTTCCAAAGTTAAAAAAAAAAACAACAAAACATACTATCATCAAAGTGACCTCAAACATACCCATTTAATATCTTTGAACATCAAATGATTCCTTAAATATGTTTTAATTAGTAATTTCAAAAATGATTAATTTGGCACTGGAAAATTTGAGGTTACTTTTAACAAAATGAGATTAGGAGTAGGAAATTTTTAAAATACGGTTATTTTTCTCTTTT